GAGCGTGGTGGGGTTGGGGATAGGAAAGCCACTTGTTTTGTATCTGCTCTTGTCGCTTACTTATGAATATATACTTATGTCCATCTGAGGAAAATCAGAGCTGCAGTAGGGAGGAAATATGTTCTGCTAACAAGCTTTTAACTTCTTTTAGCTATTGCATTTTCATTGTTTTAATTGAAAGCAATAATTGAATTGCATTCAGCCAAACAAGGAGTCAGGTAAAATGCATTTTAAAAAGGTCCGAAAAATCATACCTTTGCACAAGTAGAGAGAGAGCTAGAAGGATATTAAAAAGCAAACAGACGGACAAAACACAAGCAACAAAAAGTTGTACTGTTTTCCAGTACTTTGCTATAATCCTTTTGCTTTTGTTTCCATTTCCTTGTATCCTATTGAATTAACTTTCCTTACCAGTTCTTTTTATAGTGCTGGCAGAGAATTCTAGCTGAATTCTAGCCTGCTTTTTGATTCAAATCTGCAACTGCCAGAAGAAATCAGGTTGGAAAATGTATATTGTTGTTGGAGACATTAGGAAATTTAGTTTTGAATTCTACATCTCAAGGAGAATCTGGCAATGTTTAAATCAATAGTAGTAATAGACTAAATGAAGATATTAATTTGACTAGAATACATATGAATATAGTTAATGGGAGGGGGAAAATGTATATAGTTTATCTCTGTTATCCCTGAGCAATATAGTAAGACAAAAAAGCTGTTCCAGTACCTTTTAAGCTGTGCAGGATTCTCAGACTTGGGAGCGTTCTCTGGGTTGCCTCAGCTGACATGAAATCTGCTTTGCCTACTTTATTTTTAAAGCTAAAGCAGCAAGAGCCCTTTTCATTATAACTGAAGACATGATGTGCTTTTCATACCATTTGTCCTTTTGCAGCAGATGTGTCACCATTTTAGCAGAGTGATATTGTTTCATGCTGGTTTTCTAATTCTTTTTGTAATTCTACAAAACTTTTCTGTAATGATTTTTTTAGATTTGCTCTATCAGGAATGGATATGGAACAAAGAGATTATGATTCACGAACAGCCCTGCATGTAGCAGCTGCGGAAGGTACTGTCTCCTCCTGTATCATTTGATATAATTCCAAATTAATGGAATTTGGCCAGTTATCTTTAAAGCATCTCTGCTCTCTCTATGTAACTTTATTGTGTTTTTTTAATTTTGTGTGCGTGCATTTGTGTGCATGTGTGTGTATATATATATATATATACATGCATACACACACCTATGAGATATATTTTTATATTTATATAAATACATTATATTTATATAATCCTGCTTTTCTTACAGGACATGTGGATGTTGTTAAATTTTTACTGGAAGCATGCAAAGTGAATCCTTTTCCCAAAGACAGGTAGGTGTGTGTATTGCCACCTCGAAGGAGAGATGCTCTATTAGCTGATTACATAAGGAAAAATATGTATTAAATAATAGTGGAATTTATTAGGCAAATATACTGAAGCAGAAGGAACAGTTGTTGTCTGCAGAGAAAATGGAATAAAAAGTGGTGAAACCATTATCGTTATTTAAAAGGTTATGCTCAGCTGACAAAGTATTTTCATAGTTACTGAACTTGGTTTGTTTTGTGTGCCTAATTATTGTTACACTGTGTAAAGAATCAGATTTTTTGGTGCTCTCAGCTCCATACTTGCATGCTGATCTTAGAAATATTGTGTTCCTTCCTGTAGATGGAACAACACTCCTATGGATGAAGCTTTACATTTTGGACACCATGATGTATTTAAAATTCTTCAAGAATATCAGGTCCAATACACGCCATCAGAAGATTCCAACAATGGAAAGGAGAACCGAACAGTTCATAAAAATCTAGATGGGTTACTATAATCATCCTCAGCTAGATCCTAAGAATCAAGTCACTTACCTATTTAATTGTGATATACATAAGTAATGAAGAGCGTGTGTGTTTCTATCTGATAGTGGTATATATTTTACAGAAGTCTGTTACTTCAGTGTTATGTTACAGGAGTTTCTATACGCACAGGACAAATCCAATCTCCCAAAAAAAACAAAACCAAGTAAGAATCTCCCTCCATAATGTGAGCAATATTACCTCATGCTGCATATAATTGATGTATAAAAATATTTAGCTGTTGTTGGCTTTACTGTGCACTATTTAATTTATTTTTGTGTTCTGTGTGAACTCTAGTC